ACATGTCGCAACCTGGTCTGGTGGGAGGTGTCCCTGCCCACGGCGGGGGGGTCGGAACTCGGTGATCTTTAAGGTCCCTTCCAACCATTCCTGATTGTGTGAAGGGAGCGGGGGCAGCCCTGAGGAGAGGGAGATGGGGGGCCTGGGGGGTGAGAAGCCACCACATCCTGGGCTGCATCAAGAAAAGCCTGGCCAGAAGGTCCAGGGAGGTGATTCTGCCCCTCTGCTCCGCTCTGGTGAGATCCCACCTGGAGTGCTGCGTCCAGCTTTGGATTCCTCAGCACAGGAAGGACGTGGACCTGTTGGAGCAGGTCCAGAGGAGGGCCACGAAGATGATCAGAGAGATGGAGCACCTCCCCTGTGAGGACGGGCTGAGAGAGCTGGGGTTGTTCAGCCTGGAGAGGAGAAGGTTCCGGGGAGACCATATTGAGGCCTTTCAGTACTTCAAGAGGCCTGCAGGAGAGATGGAGACAAACTTTTCAGCAGGGCCTGTTGTGATTAGGACAAGGGGCAATGGCTTTAAATTAAAAGAAGGTAGATTTAAACTAGATAGAAGGAAGAAATTATTTATCAATGATGGTGGTGAGACACTGGCACAGGTTGCCCAGAGAGGTGGTAGATGCCCCATCCCTGGAAACATCCCAGGTCAGGTTGGACGAGGCTCTGAGCAGCCTGATGTAGTTGAAGATGTCCTTGCTTATTGCAGGGGAGGTTGGACTAGATGAACTTTAAAGGTCCCTTCCAACCCAAACCATGATTCTTTTCTATATAACGGTGGCTTGAGGGAACGGGTCCAGTGTTTCAGGCCTAGTGACGTGAGGCTGTGAGGCACTGCTTGGGCCTGGGGATGGAAAGGTACCACGAAGGAGCCCAGAAGAGAAGGTTGAGCCTGAGAAGGTGAGATTTATTCTCTTCCAGAGCAGGACCGCTAGGCTGACAAGCGGGAGAGTCCTCCACAAGCCAAGAGGAAGGGGCACCAAGTGGCTAGACAATTCAACTTTTATGCCTGTAAATTTTTTCACAACATTATCAACAAGTAAACATTTTTTGCTGTCACTTGTGAATGCAGTAAGAATCCACCTGGGTTTTACAGTCCTGCACATGCCTTCTATACTGATACTGGCTTTAATTTTGGTATAAACTAGACTGGCCTCATCTAGGCAGAAAACCATGTAGAGAAATGGAAATTCCCCATAAAAAACCCCACCTTTTCATTAATTACAGTCCTCTGTGGATGATTCTGTACTAAATGTGATGCTTAGACAGTGAAGTTTCATCTTACAAAGGTGAAATAACATTTTCTTTTTGCTGTAAATGAAGCAATGAAGTGCTTAAAAGTTGACAGTGGGTATAACCCTTTTTTTTTTGCCTGGACAACTCCTTCAGTTTTAATTTGCTTTTTGGACAGGTAGAGCACACCACAGGCGTGCCTGGATGTTTGGCCCTTCTGAGCAGCTTGTCATTGAGGAGGTAGGTAACTAAACTGTAAACTCAAAACGAAACCATTTCATCGCTCACAGATGAGCACCTCTTCTCCTTTTTCGACTTCCTGACGTCCCTGGTTTTAGGTGGGTTGAAAGAAAAGGAGAAACGTACCGTATGCAACGTATGCTTTTAGGCACACGCTAATAGTGGGGTCTACATGGAAAGGCTATTTAATAGGAAGACAAGCAGCATCTGAAAAGCCATAAGCCTAATTGATTCCAGACGCGACCGGCCTGGGTTTTGTTTCCTCTTATTCCAACTTTCTGACCTTGTAAAAATTATCTTGATTGTGTTATACTAAAACAAGGCCGTGATCTCGCAAAACCTACCATGTGTGCTAGCGCCGAGGCGTGCCCGGCGGAGCGCCCCGCACGGGACAAACGGCCACAACATCAGGGCCCCAAGTTCGTTTGTTTGTTTTCCTTTGCTCGTATCTAATCACGGTGAAGCAACAGTCTCACTTCTGCTAAAAGCTGAGTCTGGGTTTTTACGTTTTCAAAGGAGGTGAAAAACGCATAGTAAAACTTATGATTTGAGGTGAGCGATAGGTTTTAAATTCTTACAGCAGTTTAAGCTCCTGGGATTTTATGTCATTTGGAAAAGGGGAAAGAACAGTGAGGGTTTAAAAATATGTCTCACCTGTAATGTTTTCAGTACTTTCGTGTCTCTCTGTGTAGTGGTATCTTTGTTTTTCGGAAGACTGGAATTGGTAGGAAAGTTTAAGGACTTACTGGCTTTGATGATAACCTTTAGCATGCTGTTGTGCCTTTGCATAAACATGTAAAACAGCCATAGGACAGCATAAAGTGTTAGATGTGCTGCTGTCCTTGGCGCTGGAGAACTCCTGAGTGTAATTGTGTTTTTTGCTTGAGAAAAATCCAAGGCCCAGGTACACTGATCCTTTCATTGCAGCAACTGCTGCTGCTGCTCCTGTATTTGGGAATCTGTGGCTTGCCAGCCTTAAATCTCTGTGAAGAGTGGTGACAGAAAAACACATTTCCAGCGTGTCGAACTGAACAGATGATCCCTCTCTTTATTTCTCCGAAGGCTCTCCTTTTGTTTCTTTCAGGATCAAGAATCAACTATTTATTTGTGCCTTTGTCAGCAAGGCTCCCACAGGGCAATCCTTGGTAGCAAGGAGGCTTATAAAAAGCAACTCCAGGTGGAAGTGGGCCTTTTCCTGCTCCTCCCTCCATCCTGCTGCAATTCCCTTTCATCCAGGCCCTGAGACCTGCCTGCCTTTCAGACTGAGCTACAAATATAAGAGAGTTGGGGGCACTTGACTGAGATATTAGAATATCTACCTTGACTTACATCGATTCATTGAAGTCCTGGGGAGTTTTCTTGTATATAATGCACCGTGTCAACTTACGGTGGTCACACAACAGCAAATGTAACTTCAAAAATTAAACCTACCTCAAAAGAAAATGAGCAGCTCTTTGGCGTTCTTAAACTTGGTTTCTAAGAAGTTGGCATGAATAAGGCTGACACCGTGTTCGAGCTTTCTAGCTCCCTTGTCAACATTTCTGATTTCCCTACAGAATGCAAAGTGGAAATGGTGTGAGGTAGATTATTTATTAAATACAAAAAAACCCCCACCTGACAGCGTGTGCAATCTTCTGACCCAAAAGTCGTGTAGGTAACCTACTACACCCAAGATTAAATATTAGTGCTACTGTATCTGTTGTCTTTATCCTCTAGCAACTGTTTTACATCTTTTCTGTTACCTTGTAGAAGAGCTTCAAGTAAAATCCTGCTGCTTTAGAAGCAGTGATATAATCAGTGCTCTCAGAGTGGAAAAAAAAAAAAACCCAGCGTGTTCTGGCTTGCATTTTTTTGAAGAGAGAAAACAACTGGTCCATTGCTGAAAAGTTGTGCCACTCGGTGCAGCCCCCACGACGTGTGACCCGCGGCGTTGGAGATGCAGGGCACATCCCCTCCCTCCTCTGCGACCGCAGGATGGAGACGCCAGGTTCTTTCTGCCCTCCCTGAAATAAGCGAGTTCTGTTCGCCCGCCAAGAACATCCCAGTAAATATAAGGATTGTGTAAGTTGCTTGCAATGCCCAAAGTATAAACAAACTTGTGCCTCGGAAAGGTGAGTTTCTGGCGGGTTTCCAGGGGAGTTCCCTCGGTGCTGCAGAGCTGAGGCGTTCCTCTTGAAGGTAAAAGACAGATTTTAGATATTTATGCAAGACAGAAAGAGGAAAGGTGCAGTATGGAGGGATACAAAATGAGGTGTCTGGTGGTGGTGGTGGTCGTAGTGGTGCTTTTCACACTGACCTGTGGCTCTACATTTATTTCCTTGCCCAGCGGTATCGAACGGCTCCGCTTTCAAACTGTGTCAGCATGAGTGACAAGTGCATGAATGGAATATTCCTGTGGAATATCGTGGAATCAGATCTAACATTTCTCCTGCGAAACGTATGGATGAAGTCAGGTGTTCTTTTATCTGTGAGCTGGTATGATCAGAGTACATTTTGTAAAATTCGCTTTATATTTAATATTTCTAAGGTTCAATTAACAGTGCGCTGTTTTAAATACTTGGATGATCCAGCTCTGCTCAGCCAGGCAGTTGTTTCCATTCTTGCAGTGGAGTGCTGCATGGGGGGATACACGTTTGGCTGGATTGTGAGAAACTGTGAAGATCCTACAAGGAAGTTTAAATCCTCACCTCTAATTACTATATCTCACACTTTTTGAACATCCCAGTACCCACAATAACTAATGCAGGTTACAGTGTGAGCAGGTTATCTTTTTCCTCTGAATTATGCTGTTTCCGCAGAGTATTGATTCATATTCAGTTTTAGCCCTTCTCTTCAAGCAGTTTTGTGCCAACAAAACGACGACCACAGCTCACAACTTCGCTGCTCTGTCACAGCAGAACTCTAATAAGCTTTAAACTTAACTATGTATGAGACCGTTTTCTCAGGGGTGGGTCTGAAATAGGGAAAGGAACAATTTATTTTACTTTTCCTCCTCTATATACGGGCGCAGTGGTTTTATGCATGTCCCTATATCCCTCTGAAACTAAATTTTCCACGCTTGCCCTTCTGCAGAGAGGAAGAACAAGACAGAGAGGGAGGGAGGCAGAAGAGATATCGCCAATTACTCTGTTGCAAGGCATCAAGGTGCTACTGTGGTAAGTGTGGTGCAAGGAAACACAAAGGATAATATAGATTGACGTAATGCAGAGCACATTTATGAAATGGCTCGATTACACCAAGCTGGGAGGATGGTGACCACTGTGGATGGTCAGCTCAGAAATCAAAACGAGCTTCATAAATGCAAAAGCGAAATTCAACGAAAACAATCATCAGTTTCTTGCAGAAATCAAGGTGGATGCTTATAGTGGGGGGGATGTCGTAGAGAATCACTAACCAAATAGCAAGGGGCAATGCAATGCTTTTGCAAAATGCAATGCTCTCTTAGGATTTATCAATAGGTGGCATATGTAAGTCATAGAGAAAGATGTAAAGATGACTCCACTAAGTGCTGGTAAGGCCTGAACTGCTGTGTTGCCTTCCGTTTCACCTTCTGTGCTGAAAAAATGAGGTACAGGACAGGGCAAGGAAAAAGAAGAGTTGTAGAGCATATAAAAGGAAATGGCCATGGAAGGGAGGTTGTTGAGCCTGAAAAAATATTTTTTAGAGGGGAATTGGATACATTTTCCAATGTGTAAAAGGTTAGAAGAGGTTTGATCAACTGTTTGTGAATGGTGGGGGGAAAGATGAGATAAATCAGATCTGTACAGAGGGAAGATGTCTCGGACTGGATATCAGGAGGGTGGGAGGATGATTTAAATTGGATATTAGGAGAGTGGGGGGGGCGAGATGCAAGAAAATCGTTCCAGTGAAATACCAGGACAAGCTGCTTAGGAAGTTGGGGTATCTGCTTCACGGAGGGTTTCTAAGAACAGGTTAGACAAACATCTGTTGGGGATTGTCTGGGGCTACTTTATCCTGTCTTTATGCGGCCGGGGCAGACCAGATGGTCTCTTCAGATCCCTCTCAGTCCCCTTCCTAGAAGTTTACCAAGCAGGGAGGGGAGTGGACCTGAGTTTAATGGGAAAACAGTATCATCCTATTAGTTGATCCTCTTTCAGAACAGAAAAAGAATCGGGGAGAAACCGCCTCTAACTTAACTGTATAAGGAAATGGATTTATTTATTTTTTAAATTGTTGTGGACTTGCAATTTTATGTAGCGTTTACAAAAAATCAAAGCTGTGGAAAAGTCATAAAACTGAACGCATTTAAGGCGTTCCTTACTGCATTTGTAAGTGTGACAGTTTCAAGAAACAGCTTTAAATGCATCTTTTTGTCGGTGAACGAAAGAAGGAAAAACAACAGCTTCATAAGTATTTTTCATGGTGTTTGTTCGTGGGTTTTAAATTGCCTGTATTTTAAAACAAGTAATGGCTTCCTTTGTAGGTATTTCTGACCGTGTCCCAGATTGTCACACCTGGGTGCTCCTTGCACGTGCAGAGCCAGGAAATAATGGCGACGGGTCGCTCCTGCTCCCCAGTCCACAGGAGGAACAAGTCGTTCCGTACCTGCTCTGCAGAATCCGCCTGGAAGGAAAGCTGAAGGGAGCAGGGAAAGCCAGCGCCTCCTCTCCTGCTTCCTGGGCAGGTGAACTCTGCCACTGCAGCGGCGTTTCCCTCCCTCCTTCCCTCTCTCCCTCCCTGCCTCCCCCGGGGGCTGCGCGCTGGGGAAGTTCCAGTGAAATACAGCCTCTGTGGAAAGTCCTGCTCACAGCGTTGGAGACGTGACCTCTCGGCGAGTCAGATCCAATTTTACGGGCGGCTCTGAGTCAGGGTGGAGCCCGCGGACTGAACTTTGTCCGGCAGGAGGAAGTGAGGCCGGTGGCAGCTTGTGTGTTACTAAGCAGATGAGTTGCCGTATTTTGATGTCAGCTGATAGTTCCGTGGGGCGTGTGACTTCGCTCTTCGGAGATACGGTGCCTTCCCTTTATTAAGGACAAAGGTCAGAAATCGCCAGCCCCGCGATAGCTCTGTCGCTCCCGATAAGAAGAGGCATGTCCTACCGAGCCGTCGAAAGATGGAAAGGGGAGTCACAGAGTCACAGTCCTTCCCTGCTGCTCCTGCGCCGTGAAAACAAAACCGACCGTGAAACTGTCATTTCGCGTTCACGCTCCGGGAGCAAACGTCCTCACCAGCAGGGATGTTGTGGAGTAGGTCAGCTCCTCCAGAGCTCACCCACTGCCCCCGATTAAAGAGGTGGCCTATCGAAACCGGGTGTTCTTCTCCCCGGTGGGGCTGAGGTGAGCCAGCCGGGCACCGGCCTGTTCAATCAGAATTGAGGTGGAAAGCTGAGCAATCCCACCCCTTTGGTAAACGAAGCGCTGAGTCTATTTGGGAAGGAGAGAGAGTTGTTTATCACCTCTGTGCCGCTGGCACCACGGTGGGTGCCACCTTCCAGCTGTCCCGATCGTCACAGGCAAGTGGCAGCACCCGGGCAGCGTTTCCAAGAGGCTTAAGGGGGCAGGTTGAGCCCACAACTGGGCCTGTACCCACACAACCCACAGTGACAAGTCCCACTGCGCTGTCTCCGATGGCACCTCCACCTCTCCCCCCCTTAAAGTCTGCAGTCAGCCTTGAGAGCGCTGCGGCTTTGTTATCCTTGTTCTGAGAGATACCACTGTATCAGAAAACTCTCAAAATTCATTCTTTTCTGGAGAAAATGGTATTAATTCTCCGTGTTCTCAGTTGGGTTCTCGGAGGGATTAGGCTGACGTCCCTCTGAGAGCTTTGCCCCCCCTAAGGCCTGGCAGGTGAGCGGCGTGGGGGGGACGAGCTGCCGGAGCTCGCTGCCCCTCTGCTTTTCTGCTTCAGCTCCTCAGTTAGGGAGTTCCCTGCCACAGAAGTAGCTGTTTGGGTCAGTTCCAGCTTTTCTCACTCCGGCTGGCTTGAGTTTCAGGGAGGAAAAAAAAAAAAAGCCACCAACCCACACAACTGTCTACCCTGGCTTGCCCTCTGTTCCCTTAGCTTGCTGGTGCCACAGGGTGGCTCCTTGTAGCACGTGTATTTCTGATGCTTTTAGCTTTTCAGCTGAAATCGTTCAGGTTGTTCTTTCTGATACTGCAGCCTGCTGCTTCCTGGTACTAACCAAAATCCACGTGCTCTCAGTATTTCAGCGTGCTGTACGTTGGTGGCCAATTTCTTCTAAAAAAGGAATATTGTTTTCCTTCAACATGGGGCACGTCATTCCGGTCCGTGCCCCTTTTTGGCCACTTCACCCTCTCAGTCTCGTGTGCTTCCATCGCTGCCTAATTTTTTGAGAAACTTTGAGTAAAACTTTCACTTGTGAAAGAAAAAGAAACCGTTTGTCTCTTTTTTCGCTTCATTTGGCTGAAACAACGTTCAGAGATGAATAAAACGTGAGTGTGTGTCAGGGTGGTGCCATTTCAGAGCCGCTTCCCACCAATTGTGGGACAAAACCTGGTGTCTGAGGCCGAGGAAGCGTGAAGTGCCCACTACTCCGAGGACAAGCTTGGGCTCCTGGTGCAGTTTGACGTCCCTCCTTGCACAAACAAGAAGAAGAAAGGCTGTGAGATGAAAAGTTGTTGAGCCGTGGCTACGTCTGCACAGAATTTCCTTGGGAGCTGCCAGTTCCTTCATGAAAGCAAGAAAAAAAAAAGCCTTTTGGAAGGAGCCAGCTGAGGGGATGGCGTGAAGACACAAGCACGGTGCGCGGTGTGGACCATGGTGGTGCTGAGCAGGTGAGGAGGCAGATGCACTTAAGAGAGCTTTTTCTGGAGCAGGGTGGGTTGCTCTGGGCTCCCTCTGGACAACCCTCAGCATCAGCAGCTCTCAAACGAGCCAAAAAAATGCCTGTGCCCATCGCTCAGCCACGAGGCAGGAGCCGCTGGGGCCTGGTGGGACACGGGGGAACTGTGTGTGTGGGGACTGGAGATGGGGAGGTGTCATCTGCCGCCTTGGGAAGTGAGACAGTCTAGACCTTAAGATCACATTTGGCTCTAAAACACCTTTTAAAACAGATGCTGGCTCTTCAAAGTCTGCCGAGTAAATAACCTCCCTCCGTATTTTCATGTGCTACTGCATCGTTTGCATTTTTGCAATAGCCGTGTTTTAAAAACGGATGTAAACGCCGCTGGGGTAATCTCTGTGCTGCACTTCTTACGGAGCACATTAACTTATCTCTGCCTAATTAATGCCCGTCATACCCAGAGCGACTTGCTCAGCTTTGTCCAAACTCTCCCCACCTGGGAAGTGTGAGGGCGCTGGGTGAAGTGGAGCAATTCGGCGGGGTCCTGTCGGTGCACGTACCCAACCGCTGTCGAAATTCTCAGCCGCTCATGCAAATTCTCCTTCATCTGCCAGCCAAATGGCTGCCCGCATCAGATGGGTTGGTTGCCTTCGTCCCATACAAAGGGTTGGGTGGCTACAGGTGAATTTTCATCCCTCTCATCTCCGGGGTATTTTAATGAGGGGTGAAGGTGTCGTTGTCGCTCTTCCCTCACTCTCCTACCGAGCTGCCAAGAGCTTCTCGGTAACTCAGGGAGTTACAGCTTTCCCTGAAGCACGTGTTGTTGAGGTTTCAAAACTTTTTTCCTCCGTGGCAGCTCCACGGTGATGTATTTCATCCCTGCCTGGTGCCACCCTCCGTCCACACACAGGTGTGCGAGCACGTGTCACACCACCTCCCTGCCTGCCTCCTTCCCTGCCTCCCCCGGGGGCTGCGCGCTGGGGAAGTTCCAGTGAAATACAGCCTCTGTGGAAAGTCCTGCTCACAGCGTTGGAGACGTGACCTCTCGGCGAGTCAGATCCAATTTTACGGGCGGCTCTGAGTCAGGGTGGAGCCCGCGGACTGAACTTTGTCCGGCAGGAGGAAGTGAGGCCGGTGGCAGCTTGTGTGTTACTAAGCAGATGAGTTGCCGTATTTTGATGTCAGCTGATAGTTCCGTGGGGCGTGTGACTTCGCTCTTCGGAGATACGGTGCCTTCCCTTTATTAAGGACAAAGGTCAGAAATCGCCAGCCCCGCGATAGCTCTGTCGCTCCCGATAAGAAGAGGCATGTCCTACCGAGCCGTCGAAAGATGGAAAGGGGAGTCACAGAGTCACAGTCCTTCCCTGCTGCTCCTGCGCCGTGAAAACAAAACCGACCGTGAAACTGTCATTTCGCGTTCACGCTCCGGGAGCAAACGTCCTCACCAGCAGGGATGTTGTGGAGTAGGTCAGCTCCTCCAGAGCTCACCCACTGCCCCCGATTAAAGAGGTGGCCTATCGAAACCGGGTGTTCTTCTCCCCGGTGGGGCTGAGGTGAGCCAGCCGGGCACCGGCCTGTTCAATCAGAATTGAGGTGGAAAGCTGAGCAATCCCACCCCTTTGGTAAACGAAGCGCTGAGTCTATTTGGGAAGGAGAGAGAGTTGTTTATCACCTCTGTGCCGCTGGCACCACGGTGGGTGCCACCTTCCAGCTGTCCCGATCGTCACAGGCAAGTGGCAGTACCCGGGCAGCGTTTCCAAGAGGCTTAAGAGGGCAGGTTGGGCCCATGACTGGGTCTGTACCCACACAACCCACAGTGACGAGTCCCACTGTGCTGTCTGCGATGGCACCTCCACCTCTCCCCCCCTTAAAGTCTGCAGTCAGCCTTGAGAGCGCTGCGGCTTTGTTATCCTTGTTCTGAGAGATACCACTGTATCAGAAAACTCTCAAAATTCATTCTTTTCTGGAGAAAATGGTATTAATTCTCGGTGTTCTCAGTTGGGTTCTCAGAGGGATTAGGCTGACGTCCCTCTGAGAGCTTTGCCCCCCCTAAGGCCTGGCAGGTGAGCGGCGTGGGGGGGACGAGCTGCCGGAGCTCGCTGCCCCTCTGCTTTTCTGCTTCAGCTCCTCAGTTAGGGAGTTCCCTGCCACAGAAGTAGCTGTTTGGGTCAGTTCCAGCTTTTCTCACTCCGGCTGGCTTGAGTTTCAGGGAGAAAAAAAAAAAAAAGCCACCAACCCACACAACTGTCTACCCTGGCTTGCCCTCTGTTCCCTTAGCTTGCTGGTGCCACAGGGTGGCTCCTTGTAGCACGTGTATTTCTGATGCTTTTAGCTTTTCAGCTGAAATCGTTCAGGTTGTTCTTTCTGATACTGCAGCCTGCTGCTTCCTGGTACTAACCAAAATCCACGTGCTCTCAGTATTTCAGCGTGCTGTACGTTGGTGGCCAATTTCTTCTAAAAAAGGAATATTGTTTTCCTTCAACATGGGGCACGTCATTCCGGTCCGTGCCCCTTTTTGGCCACTTCACCCTCTCAGTCTCGTGTGCTTCCATCGCTGCCTAATTTTTTGAGAAACTTTGAGTAAAACTTTCACTTGTGAAAGAAAAAGAAACCGTTTGTCTCTTTTTTCGCTTCATTTGGCTGAAACAACGTTCAGAGATGAATAAAACGTGAGTGTGTGTCAGGGTGGTGCCATTTCAGAGCCGCTTCCCACCAATTGTGGGACAAAACCTGGTGTCTGAGGCCGGGGACCGGAATCCCAAATGCCAAGCGTGAAGTGCCCGCTACTCCGAGGACAAGCTTGGGCTCCTGGTGCAGGTTTGACGTCCCTCCTTGCACAAACAGAAGAAGAAGAAAGGCTGTGAGATGAAAAGTTGTTGAGCTGTGGCTACGTCTGCAC